CAAGAGGAGACTGGTTTTCCTTTGCTAAAGTAAGGAAACTTTGCTTCCTTTGCTCCTGTAAACAAACATTGGTTCTCATGAGACTAGCAAATTCTCACCGGAGCTTATGCTTTGCCGACATCCTACGTCATCCGCAGGAACGGCTTGCGCGTACGACAGTTAGCGGAAGTTAAAGAAAAGTGTTTATAATGTTTTAAATATGGATATTTTTCTTTCAAAAACACATCGATTCACTACAGAAGGCCTTTATTCACCCCCCGGAGCCGTTTGAAACACTTTTTTTATGGATGGGCGATTTTTTATTTAAAGGAGTCATATGATGCCATTTTAAAGATCATTATTTTGTGTAGTTGGTGTAACAGAATATGTTGACATGCTTTAATGTTCAAAAAACACATTATTTTTCAAATACTGACACTCCAAAGAGAAAGGAAAACTTGAAATCGCATCATATGACCCCTTTAAGTTCTTTTGGACTGATGCATGCAACACCCGCTGAGTGGCATTAAACAGCTTGAAAGATCAAAGACTATTTTTAAAATAACTCCGACTGGATTCGACTGAAAGAAGAAAGTCATATACACCTAGGATGTCTCGGGGGTGAGTAAAACGCAGCCTAATTTTCATTTTGGGTGACCTAACCCTTTAATTTTTGTAGTGAACATTATGCCACATGCGTCAGTTGAGGTTAACTTGCATTGAACCTGAATTAAGGAATATTCATTTCATTCCATTCCTCTAATAGTTTTTCTCTAGCTATTCTCAAACATTTATCCTCTTACCGCTCTTTTCATATTGTTCACCCTGGGGCCAGTTGCGTAAACTGCTTAGACTATAATATTAGAAGTCAGTCATACTAATTTTTTAAAGGCTAGTCCTTACTTTTTGAAGTCAGTGCATTAAAAAAAATAGACCAAATTTGATAATTTTGGTCAGACTACCTCTTAAGATACTGTCTTAACATAATGGCTGTGTTAATGAAACTGGCTCCTGTTCTCTTGTCAAGATTTACCCCCTGCTTTTCTCTGTAGCACATTTGTAGTCTTCACCACACGCACTAATTCCCTGCACCTCTGTCTCTCTTCCTGCATCTCTGTATGTCAGAGAGTGCTGACTCTGGCTGTTCTGCCTACAGTGAGGCTCAGATGAACAGTGCATTAGACTCACATGAATGTGACTCTAAGAAGTCAAGATGGATGCGAAGAATCAGGCAGTAACAAATCAAACCCGCTAAGAATCACACCACATGGGTGCAATTAACGGCAGGAAGTTTTGTGACCGGAAAAGCCATAAAGATACAACCTGATTTGAAGAACGAGGCTGAGGCGGAGAAAGGCCGGGTTTGATTTATGGATACAACACACATTGTTGTGAGTGCGTTTACGTGCCTATGGAAATACAGAAAAACAGAAGCATGTACATGAATGCAATGCTCCACACTGCATTTATATAAAGTGGGCCCTCGATAAAGAATTTATGATGGTAACTAAATAATTACTCACAAGTTAATGCACAGCAGGAGGGGAAAGGGAGTGAGATACAAAGTAAGAGGTAGACAGAAAGATCAGCATGATTCACAACCCGTTACATGAACACAAACAGCTGTATCACGCAAACTCATTGCAATGATTTTTCATACATATTTTATTTCAGCCATCATCGCTCCAGCCTTTGAATCATCCTTTTTATCATTCACATAATCATCCTCCTAAAAGTTTTTTTTGGTCTTTATTTTAAATTTTGTTTTTTTGTTTTTGTTTTTTCCAGCTGAAATGTTCTCGCCCTGACTGCATTTAATTTTTTATCTTGCTCGAAGTCTCAGCTTAATCTGAACATATAAAAAAGTAAACTTTTTCAAAGAAAACTAAAAAAAGCAAACAAACAAACAAACAAACAAAGAAAAATATATCCAGAAACTGTAATACCGTCTTAAAGAGGATATACAATATTAACAACATTAATCATCAGTGTTTTGATGATATCCAACAGGTTGCTAGATCTGTTTGTCATTAGTAGTGTTAGTATCAAGTTCATCGTCAGTTTTTTGTGTTGAGCATCACTTATTAAATTATCATTGCATCAAGTTGACATCATCCATGTTAATATAAGCATGCAAACACATTTCCTCAGGATCATTCAGAATTGCACTGACATAGAGAGGAAAGAGGGGAGACAAACAGAGAGAGAGAAAATTATGGCCTGGGGTGAACCGAAGGGAAAGCTATCGTCAAAGTTTGTATTTTGTGGGAGCTGATGACGGGGTCAGAGGTCACTCTACAGGGATCGTGCCTCCACAGTGTAAGATCTAAGGCAGCAGAAGAGATGGGCCTGCTGGAGACAGGAGCTGAAGCCTGCGGGTCGATACCACATCCACGTGTATGAGGGAATCAATGGCCTCTTAGAAAACAACAAGAGCTGATATACGATAACGGACTAAGGACTGAGCACACACCGGTGAGAGTGTGTGTGTGCGTCCAAGGCCTGGCATGTGATTAATAATGGAAACAGAGAAAATATGAGCTCAGTGGGAAATAATTATACTGATGTACATTTCAATAACATGAGTGTTAGTGATTGGTAATGCAGTATTCCTCCATTGAGGGACGTGTGCGTTAGCATTGGCAGTGGTTGTACTGCAATATTAAAGAGACAGTTCATCTTAAATTAAATATTCTGCTATCATTTATGCACCGTCATGTCTTTTCAAACCTGCATTACTTTCTTTCTTCTGCAAAATATGATATTTTGAAGCCAGCGGTGTCCAAAAACAATATTGGACCCCATTGGATTTCATTGTATAAGGATTTTGTGAAGAAAAATTTATTTTTTCATACAGGTTTGGAACGGCATGAGGGTGAGTAAAAGACAGATTTTTCATTTCTGGGTGAATTATCCTTTTAATAGAGGCAGTGACCCTGGATATCAAGGGTATGTGAATTTAGCGCTTTGGCCACTATGTTGCTTCTGACTAGAGAAGCAGAAACTTTACTGAACATATTTTAAAAAAAGCATCTGAAGTCAGTTTGTAATGTAAAATTATACGAGTAATCTTGTGGCCCTAAAACAATAAAAGATGTGTCCCCCTCTTTGCCTCTGTTTGCAAGGAATGCTCAGACAGAAAAGATAGTCACATTAGCCAAAAGAGATGAAGAGAACCAGTTTGTCTTTTTTCCCCCTTTTTCTTTTAAAGACAATGAAAAACTTCCATCATTTTATTCCTCGACAGCAGTGGCCACCAGGTTTGTCCCCTCGTACACACAGAGCACATTTACAAAAAAGAAAAGCACACCCAACACGAGAACACAGATCAGGCTAGGGACACGTTTCAGTGACGAGCTGGTTAGGGACACAACAGAGACAGGTCACTACCACATTCGACGGAGAACGACCGAAACGCGCGTCTGAGATATAGACCCTGACCCTACCAAGTGCAACAGGTCCTACACAAGAAATAGTTCCTCTAAGACACAGGACAGGAGACACTTGATTGTTCAAAACGAGATTTTCTCTGCGCAGGACAAAGGACGGGAATTGGAGACATACATGGGGTCACGGTGACATATACCGACACAGGCATACACGCGCACACACAAACCGACGAGCAAATGCATATCGACACAAAAGAGCACTCCTACAAACACATAGAATACATGGGAGGAAAAAAGAGGATGAATGCATGTGTCTTTCCAAAGTGGTCCTCTTGGCAGAAGGATGATGGAGAGCACACACTTCCTCCTTTGAAATTAAAAATGTCTAAGAGAAAAAAAATCCTGGCGTGGTATAAATATAAAATACTATGGCCAGATCTTTTCCCCGTAGGATATGTTTCCAGGAAGTGCACACAAATCCAAGGTCCGTCCCAGTTAGGGTCCTCTGGCAATATTTGAAATCAATGATAGCTCCCTTTGGAAGAGTTCTCAGTGGGATTCAGTCTGCCAGTGTGTCCATGTCAGGGAAACATATTCTCCAATCATTTCATTCAGTATCTGGTAGAACAAGAAGAATGGCTGGACTCTAGTAAACGAAGGAAAAAAGGAAACACTGCTGATCTCAATGAGCTCCAAGCAGAAGGTGATAAAAATGTAAAAGGCAGAGGGACACATTTCAATACTGCACGACACGATTTGGCCAATGTATCTGTCCTTATTTCTCCTTCTCCAGATGGGAACGGTCATAAAGTAGTCCTCCTCTCCAGAGAAACAGTAAACAGTTGCAAGGATTCTGCATTGGCAGAGAAGACCACTCCGAGAACTCGCAGCTACTTGTCAGACTGAAAACACCTTGTAGAGATTTTCTATAGCTACACACAGACACCCGTACAAACTCACATACACACATGCGCTCACACATACACAGAAACATTCGTGGTCCATAAGCTATCAGGTCTCTCCTGATTATTTTTTGTTTTTTAAGTAATTAAAATCTTTTTTTTTTTGTAGGCTCAGTTTCAGATAACTAAATAAAGATGATCTATTTAAAGTGGGAATGTTTGTCATATTTCCCCTGAATAAATCATGACATATTTTGACTTCAACATCATTCCTGAAGCAAAACCATCCATGCCAGTTGTTACGATTCCATGTGTGAATATGTCTGTTTGTTTATGTGTGTGTGGAGATGTATCTGTGTGATTTGTGTCTGGTCTAGTCTAGTTATTTTTCTCTATATTGTGTTGGGTCTGCAGGGTTGACTTAGAGGAATAGCACTACCACAAGCACAGTCTCTTCTCTGGTTCTTTCTTGATGAATAATTATTCACAGGTGAAAAGAAAGAATGTATTTCTGTTGCTAAAAAGATAATGCTGACCTGAGGATAAGAAAAAGAAACAGAGACAGAAAAAACACTGTTAACCATATAAACACAAACGGCAATTTACATAAACACAAAGAGCTTCAGTGAACAGATGGCTGCATTCATACATTGTATGGGATTGACAACTGCATTTACTATCAGATGTGACTGTTACATAGCTGAGAAAAGCAGCTTGAATGGTGTCATATGAACAAATAACCGTTCTGAACAATTTTGTTTAGAAAGTCATGAATAAATATCAAAGATAGTGTCTTTAAACGGTAGGAAGCACCACAATTAACATGATAAAAAATGAGTTAATGTGTCAAATGTTAATTAACCAATAGTGGCTTCAAGTGCTGTTTTCATTTTTTTAGACAGCAGATTTGGGTTGCACTCAGACCACAAAACAAGCTCATATCTTTGCCTCGTCTTCCTCGGTGAGTTACCAGAACCCCACATGACTAGTTGTTCAGTGCGGTGCCATTTACATATTAACCACACTTGCTCTCAAAATTCGCCTTTGTGTCCTGAAAATTGTCTTTATAGAATGCAGTTGTTAGTAACAAAGCTGAGAACGCAACCATATTTAGCACTCTAAAATAGGACTAATAGACATATCCTGCTGCCGTGTAAACACTGATGTTTTTGTCAGTGTGTGTTAGTTTATGACTGAAACCTGAAGTACTCCAGTGTGACACCCACACAGATCCCCTATGTGAGGAAGTACCCTTCTATTTACAGCATGCGATTATGTTCATGTGTGCGTGTACTCACATCTCTACTCAGAGTGAGGGCTGTCCACCACTATGTGTGGCTTAGGGGAGGCTGTGGCACTCTTTGACACGTATGTGTTTATGGATTTCTCCTGTGAAAGGTAAACAGCAATGAAAATACATGATTATTCAGAAGGTGATTTCATACATATAAGGCATTATCAAAGCAATTAATGATTTATTATATTATATCTTTTCAGTATTAACTGTAACTAAGAGTTATAATCAGTGCTGGGTAGTAACTGATTACATGTAATCTGGATTACATGATCAAATTCCAAAAACTGAGTACACAGTACTCGTACTTACTGTGTGTCAAACCATTTAGTTTTGACTGTATTCACAATATAGCATGGCCATGTAAATCTCATGTAAATAATTTTCCGATCCATGCTTCTAAATTTAGGGGTGAGAGAAGCACTCCTCATGTAATTAGACAATGTATGAAATGAATAATTATGCAAGTTACTAAACACAGGTGATGTATAGCTGTGAAACACTGTCTTCATCATATCCAGTGACCTTCAGAAATTGTTGGTTCTGGCAGTCATGACAATGATATTTCAGACCCAAAGGGGTAAATAACGGTGCAAATACCAGTAAACTAACTAGCATAAACCTTAGTAAATCACCTTGCATGATACTCTGCTCCCATAAATTTTGCATCTGAAATGGAAACTCCTACAAATGCATATGCAATAGGTTAGCCGAAAAAAAAAAAACTATCCACGCCCTTTCATCGCTATTTGTAAATCTGGTCCTATGTCTCGTTCTCCCATACAAAAAACAAATCGACTCAAATCAGTATTTCAAGTTCATTTATTTATTTATTTGTTAAGTAGCCATGTAATAGGAAAGATTATGTGTAATCAGTCAGAAAATAAATCGCTTCAGAGGTCCTGATCCTGCTGTTAAGATTTAATGTGTAATACGTGAGGCCTTACATACAACTCTTATTTTATATAACCACGAGAAAGGTAAGTATTATACTAATTAAGATTATAAGGTCTTTTATAGGTCATTATAAATGCATTATCGCACATTATGAATACCTTTATTTTAATGCATTATATATACAGGCTTCAAGGAAAGAGTTACCAGAAAGGTTTCTTTTTCCATTTAGGTTTTCTTTCTTTCTAGATTTTCTTTTAGTCTTATCAAGAGAAAGCTACATTTTAGTAGCTGATACCAATACCCGTGAAAATCTGGTTTCACAATTTCAATACCATAGCAATATTCAAAGTGTTATTTAATATTTAATACTGTATTAACAAATGAAATTAAAACAAAAGAATGTAGTTTTAAGTATTTTTCAATGAAGAAAGCATTGCTTCAATTATTATTCACGCCAACAGTGAGCGAGTAAGTGGTCTGCTCTTTTTTTGTGCTAATGTTTTCTGATTAATGCTGTCAACATAATAGACAGCAGCAGCTCTATTAGACTGTATTTACACTGCAAGCTCTAATGCACACATCCATTTTTTTTCTCCCGTCTGTTTACATTCACTTAAAACATAACTGACTGTATACATGATTATCTCACCCAGATGGGGATTTTAACTAAAACTGCATTTGACCGTGAGGTGCAAGCACACTTTACAGGGTGTGTGGGCAAATAAAAACCTAAATAAATACTTTTGACAACCATAGTCTTTTTTAAGACAAGTGAACCTTGAATGGTGTTTACTGACGAACAGGTATCAGGTGTGAAGGTTAAAGGCATTTTAACAAGGACTTGGCTTGTATAGAGAACACTGCCTATACACAATAACACACTGCACACATTGATTGATTTTCACATGCTCGCTCACACACACACACACACACAACTGATTACATGTAATCTGGATTACATGATCAAATTCCAAAAACTGAGTACACAGTACTCGTACTTACTGTGTGTCAAACCATTTAGTTTTGACTGTATTCACAATATAGCATGGCCATGTAAATCTCATGTAAATAATTTTCCGATCCATGCTTCTAAATTTAGGGGTGAGAGAAGCACTCCTCATGTAATTAGACAATGTATGAAATGAATAATTATGCAAGTTACTAAACACAGGTGATGTATAGCTGTGAAACACTGTCTTCATCATATCCAGTGACCTTCAGAAATTGTTGGTTCTGGCAGTCATGACAATGATATTTCAGACCCAAAGGGGTAAATAACGGTGCAAATACCAGTAAACTAACTAGCATAAACCTTAGTAAATCACCTTGCATGATACTCTGCTCCCATAAATTTTGCATCTGAAATGGAAACTCCTACAAATGCATATGCAATAGGTTAGCCGAAAAAAAAAAAACTATCCACGCCCTTTCATCGCTATTTGTAAATCTGGTCCTATGTCTCGTTCTCCCATACAAAAAACAAATCGACTCAAATCAGTATTTCAAGTTCATTTATTTATTTATTTGTTAAGTAGCCATGTAATAGGAAAGATTATGTGTAATCAGTCAGAAAATAAATCGCTTCAGAGGTCCTGATCCTGCTGTTAAGATTTAATGTGTAATACGTGAGGCCTTACATACAACTCTTATTTTATATAACCACGAGAAAGGTAAGTATTATACTAATTAAGATTATAAGGTCTTTTATAGGTCATTATAAATGCATTATCGCACATTATGAATACCTTTATTTTAATGCATTATATATACAGGCTTCAAGGAAAGAGTTACCAGAAAGGTTTCTTTTTCCATTTAGGTTTTCTTTCTTTCTAGATTTTCTTTTAGTCTTATCAAGAGAAAGCTACATTTTAGTAGCTGATACCAATACCCGTGAAAATCTGGTTTCACAATTTCAATACCATAGCAATATTCAAAGTGTTATTTAATATTTAATACTGTATTAACAAATGAAATTAAAACAAAAGAATGTAGTTTTAAGTATTTTTCAATGAAGAAAGCATTGCTTCAATTATTATTCACGCCAACAGTGAGCGAGTAAGTGGTCTGCTCTTTTTTTGTGCTAATGTTTTCTGATTAATGCTGTCAACATAATAGACAGCAGCAGCTCTATTAGACTGTATTTACACTGCAAGCTCTAATGCACACATCCATTTTTTTTCTCCCGTCTGTTTACATTCACTTAAAACATAACTGACTGTATACATGATTATCTCACCCAGATGGGGATTTTAACTAAAAGTGCATTTGATCGTGAGGTGCAAGCATTCTTTACAGGGCTTGCAGGCAAATAAAAACCTAAATACATACTTTTGACAACCGTAGTCCTTTTCAAGACAAGACAGCCTGCTTGAATGGTGTACACTTATAAAGACAAACAGGTATCAGGTGCGAAGGTTAAAGGCATTTTAAATCGCACTTGTATAGAGGACACTGCCTATACACAATAACACACAGCACACACTGATTGATTTTCACATGCTCGCTCACACACACACACACACACACACTCCATGCGGTCACGCTGTCTACCTCCACCAGCTGGTGCCAGTGTTCAATAGGCTTGCGGGGATTCGCCAGCATGGCTGTCCAGTGCTCCCTTCCCGGTCCATCAGCATCACTGCCCACACGGCACATGCCGATCACCTCATTATGACCGATACTGAGAGACAGAGAGAGAGAGAGTGGGAGGGAGAGAGTGAATTAATGCAGTTAAGCTAAGAAACGAAGGAGAACCACAGAACAGTGCATCCATTACATCAAATAGGCGAGAGAGAGAACCAAAGACGGAAAAGAGACACAGGAGAACATGAGGCGCTAGGAAGCACAAAGTAACAAGATAAAAAAGCAGGCCTAATCGGCATCATATAATTAGAAAGATGTAGACAGGACCTTAGTGTCATATAGCAACCTGCCCATTAAGACACACACACACCCTCAGACGCACTGAGAGAGTTTCCACACGCAGTCCTTTAATTACGTGGACACAGACTGAGAGATCACATAATTACACAGACAAACAGAGAACAGAAGGAGAGAGAGACAGAGGTACATTCCAATTATTGAATTACCAAGATAAACAAAGTGAGGCAAGAGCACAGGGAGTGGATTCAATGATTTGAGCGAAAATTTTTCACAGAGGACAGATGGGTATAGTTGTTTATGATAGGTCCACTGATTACCGAGATAAAGAAAACGAGAGAGAGAGAAGATTAGAAGAGAGAGAGGTGTCCTAATCACTTAATTACTCGAAAAGTGAGTATGAAAAGCTGCTCAAGTGACGGTGGAATAACAAGCGGGTTCAATAAGTGGAACTTAAATAAATCTTTCCTCTTGCATTTACTGTTGATCAGAGACAAGGACAGAAAATAAATGGCATTAATGCATACTGTTTACTGCCAAGCAGGAGAAGTAGAAAAAAAAATACTCCAGAGTTTATGTGTGTCACGTGACAGGCCTGGATTTGTATAGAGACATCAGAGACTTTATAAAGACCTACTTTCATGAGTGTAACTACGCTATTGCGATAGTGATGACATAATAATAACAGTCATTTCACATGAAATATAAGACCCTGCGACAGTTTTTATATACACAATACCGTAAAGTTTGGGGTCGGTAAGATTCTTTTAAAGGATTAGTTAGTAGTAGAGCATTTGTGGTTAAAAAGTATATAATTTTATTTATTTTTTTTAGAAAATGACGGATCGTTTTGTTTGATAAGACCCTTATTCCTCAGCTGGGATCGTGTAGAGCCCTTTGAAGCTGCAGTGAAACTGCAATTTGGACCCTCAACCTGTTTTGAATCCCCATTGAAGTCCACTATATGGAGAAAAATCCTGGAATGTTTTCCTCAAAAACCTTTATTTCTTTTCAACTGAAGAAAGAAAGACAATAACATCTTGGATGACATGGAGGTGAGTAAATTAACAGGAATTTTTTTATTCTGGAAGTGAACTAATCCTGTCTCTTATGCTCACCAAAACTGCATTTATTTGATCAAACGTACATGAAAAACATGAATATAACATTAATAATAAAAATTAAATAACAATAATAAAAATAACTGTTTTCTATTGTAATATATTTTAAAATGTAATTTAGTCCTGTGATGGCAAAGCTGAATTTTCAGCATCATTACTTCAGTCTTCAGTGTCACATGACCCTTCAGAAATCATCTAACATGATGATTTGCTGCTCAAGAAACATCTCTCAGTATTATCAAAGTTGAAAACAGTTGTACTGCTTAATATTTTTGTGGAAACCGTGATACATATTTTCAGCTTTTATTTGAAACAGAAATCTTTTAAAACATTGCAAAATGTCTTTAATGTCACTGAATAAAAGAAGAAAAAAAAATTCTACTGACCCCCAAAGTTTGAATGGTAGTGTAGATAAATAAAACTGTCCTCTCAAATAATTTTAGAGAAATGATACGATTTGTCCAGATGGTTCAAACAAACAGGTCAAATAAATGAGTCACCTATTCACTTGAGCTCCTGAGTCTATTTTTTAAAATGCTGCTGTGCCCTGTTTTTACTCAGTTATATTAATCATTTATCTTTTAGTATAAATGTAGTAGGCTAATTTAATCAGTCATTCTTGAGACATGGGACAAAACAGGTCCAGCAAGGGTAACTGCTATTAGGTTTAAAAATAAAAATATTTTCAATTTTAAATGTCATGAGGGATTAATAATAGAATGTATTTAACACAATTATCACCTTCAATTTCACCCTGTTTTGTCCCACTTCTCAAGAATGACTGTAATACTGTCATCCTAATTCAGATCTTAATTTGTGCCAAATAAATACAGCTTTGATAGTTATACAATTTAACTGAATTAACCCCCTTAAATAGCTTCAATGTAGCTACTTTTTGTTAGCAGTTTGAAGCATAGTTAACTATTTTTTTATGTAGCTTGACTGTAGTTTAATAAATCAAGTCATGCTCAAAGAAATGAGTGCCAGCAGGATTTATGTCCTGACTTTATTTTAATAACAATAATGCCAAAATAAAGTCAATCAAGCTTGATTGAAGACTTAAAACAAAGTCTTTGTTTTGCAAAAACCCTAAAATCAAATGAATAACATAGTTTTATGAAGCAATCTGCATGCCATGAACAACGTTTCTTCATCTCAAAAAAAAATAACTTGCTTTGCCTGCACCTGTGTGACGTCATCCACAGTAATGCTGGTTTAAATACAGAAACGCTAAAACATTGCAAAATGGATTGTTTAGCATGTCAGATATATATAGATGACTATTATCCAGCCAATAATGCTTCTGAATGGAGCGTTTAGCACAGATGGCATGCAGCAAAGCTAAGAGCAATTCATCAGGCGTTATCTGTGGCTCACAGATGAGCTGCTTCATTAGGAGGGGCGGCTGGTGTGCCGCGTGCCATTGGGAAGAGATGAAATCACGGAGAGCATCCACAAACACGCATTTGGGAAACTCGGATGTGCATTTCTTCAGAACTGACAGCAGTTCTTAAAATAGAATCTAATACATGATTTGTATGCATCTGGTTTTTCAAGGCGTATTTTGTTCCACAAAATAAAAAATATGTCCATAAAAGTGGGATTAGGTGACACTACACATGCACCTACCAGTACATGCACTTAATTTTCAAAAAGTAAAAAACATACAGAATAATGCAAAAGCCAAACATAAATGCCAATCTGAAGGTCTATCATACTGAAGTGCAGCAAGAAGAGCCCCCCCCACACACACACAGAGAAGAGGTGACTTAAGGTGTGCCCACCAGACAAGAAACACTGGCTGTGTTACACCACCAGACACCACTTCCATTAGTATTAGGCTGTCATGTATATTCATGAGGTGTCTGTCTTTATGCAAAACAGTGCAGAAGTCAATCAGGAATAGTCTGACACATGAGGGCATAAGGCCCTGTGTTCAGTGGAGCGCAAACACATACAAATATGTGCAACAGGAATTCTAATTAACCAATTAAACAACAAACTATCTCATCAGTATCGGTCACAGAGATCCTTAAATGCATGAAAAAATCATTCTTTATTCAGTTATTCATTGCTAACTTCTCAACAACATAGCAACTGGCACTATTTTGGTCTATTCTGAAATTTGTTATTAATTATAGTTTAATATCAAACAATAAAGCTAGCAATTAAATTGGTAAACATTACAAATGTTACGTATTTAACAAGAAAACATAACATTGAATATTATATAACAAATTTTTTTATATTATAATATTAGATAATGGGAAATATTTCAGATTCTGTTTCTAGGTTCTTAATCAAATAAGAACATTTTCTGACAGTGATTATGACGTGACTTTGTTCAAATGCTCAGATGTTATTGCTTCTGCTGAAGCTCAGTATTCTTTTCAGATCATCTAAAATCATGTGGAGTTCAAGTGATTCAAGCTCGAGTACTGCAAGGTCACTCATAATTGTTATGCTGGTAATACAATTTGTTGAGGGAAAAAATAATGGTGAATATCATCAAATATTATGACAAGTATTTTCTATTGTAATATATTTTAAAATGTAATTTATTCCTGTGATGGCAAAGCTGAATTTTCAGCATCATTACTACTCCAGTCTTCAGTGTCACATAATCCTTCAGAAATCATACTAATATGCTGATTTGCTGCTCAAGAAATATCTCTCAGTATTATCAACGTTGAAAACAGTTTTTTTTTTTTTCAAGATTCAGGGATGTTCAGAAGAACAGCCTTTTATATAGCCATTATAAATGGCTTGACTGTCACTTTGTATAAATTCAATGTGGATATGAGTATCAAGTTCTTACTGATCCCAAACTTTGGAATGGTAGCATTTATTACACTAGAGAACTATTACAATAGGAAAGTATTTACACAACTGGACTCTGTAGGAAACACTGTGTTGATCTAATTTGAAGCTCTCCCACAGACCTTCAATAAATGCTTTATTCTTTCAATGAATGGAAAATCCATGTGTTCCTGAATAAATTCTGTGAGACACAGCCTGTAAGCACGCCTAAAGTTACAAGTGGGCACTTCCTGTCAAGCCTCATATAACAGCAGGGAGCTTGATGTGTTGCAGCATGTCTCAGAGCCCATCACAGCATGATTATTAGTACTTATAAAGCACATATTCTGCATGACCATATTCTTATTATTCTACCTAAACTTAACAACTACCTTACTAACTATTAATAACAAGCACCAAATTAGGAGTTTATTGAGGCAAAAGTTGTAGTTAATGGTTTGTTAATAGCGAGAATTGGGCCTTAAAATAAAGTGAGCATATAATTTTTAATGCTTTGTTGTGAGATATTATTATACAATTTTAAATAACCGTTTTTATTTTAATGTATTTTAAAAAATATTTTTTTTCTTTGATGGATTTTCATCAGCTTTGATCCTTCAAAAAACATTCTAATATGCTGATTTTGAACTCAAGAAACCTTCATTATTATTATTAATAATGTTTGAAATGGTTCTGCTGGGTAAGATTTTTCAAAACCGAGAACATTTTTTTTCAGGATTCTCTGAATAATAGTGATTTTATTCAAAGACATTTATGACGTTAAGTATTTCTATTTCAAATAAATGCTGTTCTTCTGAACTTTCTATTCATCAGTTTAATGCATCTTTGCTTAGTAAAAGTAATAATTTCCTCTGCTGTTCCTAAATGCTTCCACTTTCCAATAATACCACTTACAGTTGACCATGGTATAGCTAGCAAGGATGAAATTTCAAAAACTGACTTATTGCAAAGTTGGCATCCTATCACAGACCCATGTTTGAATTCTATTTTTTTATTTTTATTTTATTTATTTTTTTACAAATCTTTATAAATTAATTGACTAATTAAGAGGTTTGTATCCCTATACTTTTTTCCACATAGTGTGTGCTTAATTCAGATTAAAAATTTATTTACATTTGTCGTATTATCACTTGCATGAGTTTACAGAAATCAAATGGGCGGATTCTCCTATCTGAAGCATATGTGTTGAGATGCTAGGCTTGTTTTTTCCCTTACACTCTTTGTTGAAACTTTCATCCTTCTCTCAAGTTCTTGTTCTGCCAGACAGAATTAATCATCAGCTATGATGAAAAAAGAACAAGGGTAGCAGAGGTAAACAGAAAGAGCTGCAATATTTCATCAAAAACGTCAAGCATCTGAGGTACATCTCCAAGAACTATAGGAGCTGCCAGCTTTGGGTCTGTGTCCGTACATGTGATGTGAATTTTTTTATTTTTTTGTTACACATCAGCACCTTGAAAAATGTATTATACCTCAAGTCATTTTTTTTTTTCGAACCAGCCGAGTAAGTAAATCCGCTAATGCCACCTGAGCAGCCGATTGGCTGAATCCTGCGTGTAAACATTTCATTTACACCCATTCACGTCAGACACACAAATGTCAGAAACATACTCAAATCCAGCATGCATCACTGAATAATTTTTCAATTTGTCTCGTCAGACAGAGTAGATGGTGCCAAATTTATCTTCTTTCCTTCATTTGACCTAGTCGTGCTGTGGAAAATTTCATCTACCTTATTTAAGCACACTGCATCTTGTGTTTGATTTGATTTATTCTCTTTGTTCTCCAAAGGTACAAACACATTTTAAAATAACAATATTCTATGATGATGATAAAAATGTTTCTAAAAACTGCTCCATTAAGATGCAGTGGCAATTTCTGGAGTGCTCTTGAAAAAAGGCTCCTTTGCACAGTTGACCTTCACTAATTTCATGTAATTTTCTCTGGAAGGACGAGCGCATGCATCACTAGATCTCCTCACACCTCTGCTACCATCGTCCCCAAGGACACATCATCATCATCGACTTGGCATGTAATCACGCACGATTATCAATTGTGAAAAACGTCTCGTGAATATAAAATTAGCTTTTCAACTTTTCACTTAAGAGAAATATGCAAGTACAATAAAAGTTACCACCATTATTATAAAATCTGTCCTGGCTAAGCTTCTTATGAAATCCATCACAATTTCTTGGGCTAAATTCACTAAACCGTGTTTCATCTTAAAGGGGTCATATGATGCGATTTAAATTTTTCCTTTCTCTTTGGAGTGTTACAAGTCATCTCTGATCACAAATGCAGAAAGAGTTTTATGTTTACGCAGCGCGATGCAATGCAACACAACGCGTAAAAAGACAGTTGCCGGGCACACCGTTCTCGACACCGTCGCCTCGGCTCACTCTAGCCCGGCCTCAGCTCACGCTAAGCCGGGGCTTCCGCTAGGCCACTGTGTTTTTCGTTGTGAAAACGAAACTACTAAAATAATGTTCTTTTTAGCAGCATCTTATGACTCCTTTAAATCACATACCACTCTAAAAACAGTTAACAAACACTATAGGCACAAAATCAGTGCTGAATTTAATTTTAAATGCCATTTTTAAAAGGACAAACATGCCTCCTTTCTACATATATTACATTGTAAAAATTGGTTACCTTAAAGAGCTATTTCTACCTGATTTAATCAATAAAAATTTGCTTTGTTTGTATAAGTGAATGTTTTCAGGCGATATTAAGCAATATTTTTGACTTAAATAAAAACAGTTCATTTAGATTTTAATATTTTTTTTAGTGTAGATTCAATGAAGATTTACTTTATTCACAAAACTCAGCGCTATTTGTCTTGCGTAATTAACATTGCGTATGTACTGCCCAGGGAAAGCAATTTTGCTCAAAAGAGACATTTGTGCATATTTTTATTGATGACAGCACTAATTTATCAAATGATGATCAAGTAAAGGAGAAGAGTGTTATATCTTGGCTCACTTCCAGAAGTTTGGTGTAGTCAAGTGCACTTCCAGCATTTCCTATTGAGGTGTTGGCATGATGCCGATATGTTCAGTGCGAGTGCTTTGACATATTGAGCAGTGGTGCTCACAGCAGACCAGGGTTTGAGTATGGCCCAGGACATGTTGCCACCCTGTTCCCCTTCCTGTCTCTACTACTGTGCATGGCAATAAATGTAGCAAAAAAAACGATTGCTGTTCTGCTCAGGACCTGGATGGCCACTTTCCTGCAGGGTTTAGATTTAACCACACTCTAACGCACCTCAACAATCTAATCAACTGTTCACCCAAAAATGAAAATTCTGTCATCATTTATTCACCCGACCTCTATGACTATCTTACTTCAGTGGAGCATAAAAAATTTTGTCCACATAATGGGAGCCAATGGTAACCAAAACAGATTGGGGACCATCATTCTTAAAAAAATATGTTCTTTTTTGGTTTGCCGAAGAAAGTCAGTCATACCAGTTTAGAATTATTTTTGGGTGAAGGATTTCTTGAAAATTACCCGCAGGTGTGTTTGATTAGGGCTGTAACTCAAATCCCCGGGACAGTGGCCCTCCAGGACTGAAGTTGAATTGCCCTGCTGTACGGTCTCAATATAGTAGTCGAACATCTGTTGTAGTGTAGCATTCTGCATTCTTCACAACCTAGCACTCAGAACCATTCTTTTTTGCCGTATTTGTGGCGTTACCTAATTTGCATAAATCAAGGGCTAAAACAACTCAGACAGCATGTGCAAATACACAATGCTATCAAATGGTTGTGGCTAGAAGGGATACAGCTTCGACCGGAAACTAACAATGAAATTTAATTTTCTACCTATTAGATTGTGTTTTATTAACACCTACCCCTACCCTAAAACTACCCCTTACAATAATGCAAAATAGTAATTATTGTTGTATAGTGTGACAGAAATTACACTATATTGATGTGTGCCTGCCCAGTAGCCACTGCTGTATCCCTTCTAGCCTTAACCCTATCAAGCACTCTCACCGACTCCGTTTGTGTTTAAGGTCTAATGAAGGTTTAATATGTGTTTGTGTCATTATCTCACCGCGGTTCCTTCTACGATGTCTCTCCAAATTGGCTTCTCCCCGGTGCCCTCGCTGAAGTCCAGCAGGTTTTCCACCACCACTTGACCTATGAGGTCATGTCTGGAGAAGCGGTCGAAGTCGTAGATGGAGAAGTGGAGCTTGCGTGCATGCAGCTCGGCCAGGGGCACGCCGAACTGGAACGTCTCATTAAAAACCGGGTTGAGAGTTTTTCTGTGCACCTGCGAACCAGAGCCACGGAAAGCCCGAGTGAAAATGAGAGAAAGTGAAGGAAATTAGATAAGCGGAGGAGCTGAGAGGGAAAAGTGAGTGAACAAGAGATTGGTTAACATCAAAACTGCAAATGCATAAAGTTAATTTAAAATGCACCGGCTGATAGAGATGTATTTTTAGATGAACTAGGGCACTGGGAAAAAAAAAATCCACAGGCAGGCTGAGAAACGCAACCAGATCTTAATGAGTCCTAAGAGGGTCTGCCATCTGAACAGTGGATTATTGTAAAAGCAGCGAGCTGACTCGCTAGGATAAAAAAAGATACCTTGGTCTGAAATTTCTTCTTCCTATCAGGCAGTAAGTAGATCTTGACATAAGGATCGGAGAAACCATTGGCATCCTTCGCCGGGAGGTCCAGGGCTTTCAGTATCTTAACCACCAGCTGCTCCGTGCTGTAAGAAAGACATGTCAGCGTCACCATAATTCACTTTGAACTATCTGGATATTTCTGCGCTCGCTAGCCTCATTTCAGTTCACTTCAGCGTCATCTAACCAGCAATGACAAGAGCGTTGGTTTATGTAGAAACAGGCTGACATCCAAGTCAGTATCAGGACAGCGCTGCAGCATCGAGTTCAGTGAGGCTCAGTGGCTGTCAGGTTCAGGAAAACAGGGGGAAAAAGAGAGGAGGTGCCAATTGTACAACCCAGCTCAACGGCTTGGAATTAACTGACAGATGGACAGAACCGTACTTGTGCTGCGCAAGCTAAATGGATCTTGTACGAACGTGAATATATGAGATAATACATCCTTAATGGGAATATAAAGACATGAATATTTGATGCGTAATGCAATGACTGTGGCCTCCAACACCGGACTTTATAAATAATCCAGAGCTTATAACGAAGCAAACCATAGGTCATTTCATGGCTAGACTGCAGCGGGGTTGTTGCGGTCTGGTGCCAAGCACAGCATGACCGTGAACTTCTGAAGCGCGAGGCTCACCCAGTGTTTGTGCAGATGTAAATAAGAGAGGCGGGGGAACTTCTGTGGTTGTTAATCAGGCCTTGTTAGAATGTGTCTCTCAGTGTTAGCAAATGCGTCACCCTTTCATTAGAACACTTAAACAAATCAGCAACGTCGGGGGAGGGAGAACACAAGAAGAAATCCAATATGGCCTTAGACTGACATGTCGATCATAAAGAATGTGTGATGACATGGTACAAATCTCAACCAATCAGCATGGAAGCAAATAAATTAATCATGTGATATTATCATCCAATTTGTAAGTGACAAATTGAATCATTCATTATTGTACAATCATATCAAGACAAGGATTTAAGGGCTATTCATGCTGACAGCAATTTTTAGATTTTTAAGGACAGTTGGCGACTTCCAGCAATACGAGCAACAGCAACTGATGTGATAAAGTATATAGTTGATATAGTTGGTTTATATATATATATATATATATATATATATATAAATGCATATTTTATTTGTTTAATTTTTTTGTTTTATTCAAATAATCCTGAAAAAAATGAATCACAATTTACACAAAAATATTAAGCAATGTTTTTAACTGTATTAATAATAATAAGAAATGTTTCTTGAGAAGCAAATCATCATATTAGATGATTTCTGAAGGATCATGTGAAACTGAAGACTGGAGTAATGATGCTGAAAATTCAGCTTTGCCATCATAGTAATAAGTTACATTTTAAAATATATTAAAATAGAAAACAATTATTTTTAAATGCAATAATAGTCCAGTTTTTACTGTATTTTTGATCAAATAGTTGCAACCTTTTAATAGAATTCTTTCTTTAATTCCATTAAAAAAATATAACTGACCCCAAACTTTTGAATGGTCATTTATATTTATATAATTATTAATGTCATGCTCTTTACTTCCACAGAAAACACATCAGTTGATAATCAAATGACGGGCGGGAGAGTTATAATGGGAATATGGTCAGATAAATTGTGTAGATAAACATAACATTTTAAACATGATTCAGATGCCATGATCAGTGCAGAAATCACCAATGCAAGTGCAAACAGTGATTAACTCCCTAAAATTGTTGGATAGTGGTCGAGTCGGATCGTCTACTAGCAACCAATGGCACAGACACACTGAAATGTCCTGCAATTTAATCGCTGTCAGCATGTGCAGCCCAAAAGACATGTTCGCTAATAGTAAAATTACATCAGATTGCAAAAGAAGATACTTGTTGACATTTCAAGTTGTAAAAAACAGTGTCATCCAGATGCATTTTGAGCTGTCCAGTCTAATATACATTATATCCGTTTAGCGGAATTAGAAATGAATCTCAAGTCAAGTGGCATGCAGCACAACAGCACACTTTAAATCAGGTTGGTCTTTAGAAACGTAGGGTGCCATTAGCACTTAGTGCTATGATTGAAAATGATAGGCTCTGTCTTGCCCACATTAACAGAGTGAAATCCCCCCCCCAGTCATGTGTTGCACTGCACAACGGCTTTTCTATATTCAGTCACAGGCCCCCCTCCCCGCCCCCGCCCCCTTTACAATATCACTATGAAACAAAACAAGACCTCAAACAAAAGTCATGCACATGCTGTCTGAAAGCGCTCGTCTGGAAAACGCAATGATCGGCACTCAGCTGGAATCTGACAAATAGATGGATAAATTAAAATAATAATAAAACAACATTCGGCTCTAACCCTCATAGACAATGGGTTAGAAATAGCTGCTATTCCCTCTGCGCCGCACGTGTTATCGGCCTACTGCTGTGCTGATAGAAAGCTACGTCCCACCAGATGCGACTCTGACTGACAGTGTCAACCTGCCCGCTATTCCCAAAATGCTTGTAGCTGTGACATATTCGCATTGATGTATTGCAAACGCAACAGCATAGCAGGAGGTGTGATGATGTCAGTTAAACACACATGGGGATGAGAAACAATCTTGGCCGTTAGACCTCATGCAAACGCTGAGTAACATTTCCGTTTGCATTTGCTTTAAAAAGAAATTCTGTTCATTTACTCACACTACAGGTGGGCGAAATTATCAAAAAATGTTATATCATGATATGAGTAATTTTATTTCATGATAACAATATATAGTTATTTTTGCTGGAAAAAAAATCACAACACCAAAACTTTAGACGACACTGAAATTTCACGATTCTAACAGCAAAAACTAATACTAGCCTACTTAATATAAGTAAAAAGACAAGTAAACCTTCAGAAATTAAATTAACTACAAGAAATAGGACAAAGTAATAGAATTGAACAAAAACACAAATGAATGCGTCGTGGTGCTCTTGTGAACGTGCGTCAACTTCTGGCGCGGAACAGAAGAAATTGTTGAATAAAGTCGTTATTTTTGTTTTCTTTACGCACAAAAAGTATTCTCATCAAATCAAGGCTGAACCGCTGATGTCACATGGACTATTTTAATGATGTCCTTACTACCTTTTTGGGCCTTGAACGTGGTAGTTCTGTTGCTGTCTATGCAGGGCATAGAAGCACAGTGCTGTGTTATTATGTGTTTCTATTTCAAAATCTAAACTGGTTGACAAAGTTCTACCAGTTTATCATGTCTAGACTACGATGATATATTGCTCACCTGGATTGTTTGAAACCCTCTTTCTTCCGAACACAAAAGATGTTAGGCAGAATTTCTAAGCTGCTCTTTTCCATACAATGAAAGTGAAGGGAGATCACGGCTGTTCATTATATGCAAAACAGCAGCTTAGACATTCTGCTAAACATCTCCTTACTTGTTCCACAGAAGTAAGAAAGACAAGGTTTGAAGCAACATGAGGAAACGGACGAATTTGTATTTTTAGGTGAACTATCCCTTTAACTCAAAAGTTTTCCATCTCATGCGCACACGCAATCGTGACATACTCACCTTAGAGCTCACAGCAGAACATAATAGACCGATAATGTAATGAACAGGGACAGAGGTGTCAAATCATTTATTTGAACTGCTCCCTATGTGTAAGGAATGAGATATCAATCTCCACTCACCCATCTTCATCTCTTTCTCTCCCTCGGCCTCCTCTGTAATTCTGGCCGTAACACAGTATTGTGTTATTATGTGTTGACAGGCTGTGCTGTTTAAATTGGCTGGTCATATATAATTAATGAGTGAAACAGCCTCTCCTTCCTTCATTTCTCAAACATCAGCACTTTCCACCATTCTAATGTCCCTCTGCGTGATGGCAAAATAAAGGACCCGGTCTGACGTGCACGGGCTGCCCACGGACAGCCTGACTATAACTCATTGTGCTGACTGCAACTCCCCTGTTTCTTTCTCCAGCTCGCCTTTTCAATTGTGAGCCCTGCCGATGAGATCTATTTATAACCCACTGATGTATTGAGAGGCATGGATCCACATTGTGGGACAATTCCACACGAGATGCTTCCCCGTGGGGAGAGGAGGTAATGGCGGGATGGATCCGAGTGGACTCACTTGAAGGCGTAGCGCAGGAGGAAGCTGATTTTGCCGCAGGTGTCGCCTTGTTTGCCATCCCCCTGGTCTCCCTGGCGCAGCCGGTAAAGTTCTGGTTTGATCTGCCCAATGCTGGTCAGCTGCTCACTCTTTTCCTCACCATGGAAATCAGGGCTGGAAAGCTGGTGAGTCATGGGCTTAGGCCTGGAGAGAGACCAGAGGGTGAACACACTCACACATGCGCATGTATAGACAACAAACACAAGGACTGGTAGGGGGAAACAAAACATCTTCAGATGATATTTATGAAAGGAAGAACTATCTGAACGATTTAAAAAATATATATTTTTTGCATTGCATATTCGTTTTTTTTTTTTAAATCTGATTAATTCTATTAATTAATCATCTAATTCAATTGAGGGGTAAAAGTGGGAAAATGTGAATGCAAATAAAAAACAATACGTAAATGTCAAGCATGTACTCGTCATGGTATTTGTTGCATTGCCTTTAACTTAAACTAATTTAAATGATCATTTTTACGATAGTATATTACAAAACATACTGTACTGCCATAGTGAGAATCTAATGAAAGACGAATTCCACAAAACTCAGAAGTAAAATACCCATGTGTTTAATTGTCATAACAAAATAAAGCCTGTTCTATTTTATTTTGTATGCAATATTATATAATATATATAATAATATAATTTATTTATAGGCCTACATTTCTTTCCTTTTTTGAATGTGGGGTTTTGAAAAAGGGACAGTAAAGGCATTTATAATGTTACAAAAGATTTCTATTTCAAATAAATGCTGATTCCATCACTGCTGATTCTATCACTGATTCCACAAAATATTAAGCAGCACAACTTTTTTCAACATTGTTAATAATAAGAAATGTTTTCTGAGCATCCAATCAGCATTTTATAATGATTTTCTGAAGGATCATGTGACACTGGAGTAATGATGCTGAAAATTCAGCTTTGCCATCACAGGAATAAACTACATTTGAAGATACATTTAGAATATATAGAAAACAGTTATTTTAAACTGTAACAGTATTTCACAACATTAGACAATAGGGAAAAAAAACTTTTAAACAGTAGCATATGTAAGACCTTTTAAAAGGAAAAACATTAAAGCTGCAGTCCGTAAGTTTTGCCTCTTTATCGTCATCTCTGTTTGAAAACCTGGAATTGCAGCTGTGTGAGGAATTATCTTCCTTGCGTGGGTTGTGAGTCGGCATGGCTCCAGCGCGGATGAATCTAATGTTCTGAAGAGTATGTGTGGCAGTCAGTCACTGCAACGGTGTGGATATTTACAGTACTTCGCAATCACAGATTCTAGCCTACGTCTTGGAATATGACCCAAATAAGAATTTTCACCATATATTGCCATCTGAACAAGTCTGCCACGTTTGTTCTGACCAACTGAGGAAAAAATCATTACCATAAATCTCGCTACCAATGGTGATTAAATCTAAAGATCGGTTAGCTCATATCACATCAAACCGTTCAAATTATTATTATTGTTATACTTTATTCTCAAAAAAAGCAAATTATGCTCCCTTCGAACTGGTTTTCTTTAAAATACGAATCTTGTGTAATCCCAGGCTATCTGTAATCAGAAGAACATTTATAACTGGAATATAATTAAATTTCATTCACATGTGTTTTATAAACACATAATCCTTTCTGGATTACAATCCGCCATCAAAATGATACATTTAATTATTCCGGCTGCTGTGAGAAAAGCCTATAAACGATCCGCCACCTGCACGATCCTCACATGCGATAGCTTATTAGCCGGGACAACTTCTTTATGTTTACAGATGTGATGTAATGACGCAGCGGCGTGCTCGAATTTCCAGCGAAAACCTACCTGTACCACTCAAATTAGAAAACATTATTATAAACTAACCGTTGTGAATCGGGCTAAAGTAAGGCAATAGTTTTGAACATTGGCTGGTTATGTACTTGCTCAAATATTGATTTCGGATCATTTTTAGTTACGGACTGCAGCTTTAAATTTCACTTCAATATAACATTCTGCACACATTCCGCAAGACACAAACCACACACTCACTCCATCATCCTGTAAAACACACACACATAGAAACCACAGACAGGTACAAGAAGAGAAGGTCACTGACCTGGTGGTGACCTGCTGCTGGGAATGAGCATTGGGCAGGTCTTTCGCAGCTGAGCCTCCTTCTGTTGCTGGGGGCAACTCGGGAGATGTCTGGCTCAACTTAAGGTTTACTGAAAACAAGAGAAACCATAAGCCATAGAAAAGATGAAAGAAGTAGTTAAGAGAATGGTGCATAATTAACAACAATCACCATCTCTTAGGTCTCACAAAGAGCAAAGTAGTGCTTCTGAGTTTGATACACAGCAGACTTTTACTCACCAGCATTGTTGGGATAAGTGTCCATGTCTAGGTAAGAATGCTCCTGCATCTCCTGCGGACCCCCAACCACACACCCCACTACCAGCCCCCCTCCACCCTCCACCCCCATCAGGTCAGAGAAATGGGGGTGATGCTGGCCATGCTGCGAGAGTGAGGGATACAGCGAGGAAGAGGAGTGAGTATCTTTCCTCTGCAACAGGGGAGGAAGGTGCGAGGGGCCCCCTCCACTACCGACCCCACCCAAAACGGCCCCGCCGGGCAGGAGCCCTGACGTCAAGCTCAGACCCCCGCCTTCCTTATCTCTCCACGGCAACCAGCAGAGCTTCCAGGAGACGAAGAGAGAGACAGAGAGCAGCACGATGCCACAGAACGTTACAATGACGGAGAGCAGACTCACTGAGATCTCTGAAACAGAGAGAAAGAGAGAGAGAGAGAGAGAGAGAGTTTGATTTATAACAACCTTGAGAGGTAGCAAAAATCCTAAGGAGTTTAATGATTCTGGTTCATATTACAATGAATGCTTCCGGTTCCTTTATAATTACACTAATGGTTTCTTTAGGACTTGAATAATTGGTCCTAACTATATACTAAACACATATACTTTATATAAAAAAGTAAGAAATTTAATGATTCTGGTTCAAATTCCAATGAATGCTTCTGGTTTCTAATAATTACACCAATGATTCTTTTAAGACTTAAATAATTGGTCCTAACTATATACTAACGACAAATACTAAACAAAGGAAGAAATATAATGATTCTGAGGTAGATTTTATAGAACGCTTCTGGTTCCTTAAGTATTCTAATGATTCTTTTAGGACTTGAATAATTGGTCCTATTTACATACTAAGAATATATACTAAATAAATTATAAATAAATAATAATAAATTAATACATTTTTTATTAAAGTTCCATTGAAAACAGTTCAGAATGTCTATATTTAAACATTATTTTATTTTAAACAACAATTAAGAGTTTCACAAAGTAAAACATATACCGGTACAATGCATACAAAAAACACACACAAACCTACTCCAATCTGTAAAAAAAAATCCTTTGTAAATATATATATATATATATATATATATATAAAATTGATATTAATATTTAAAAACTTTGGATTGTTACATGAAAAAACAGTACCACAAGCCTTAAGTACACACAGCACACAGAAGGTGTTCTCGATTCATTTCGAGTTGTGGTTTAGTGATCGATTCAGTCAGTGAGTGAGTTGTTAGACTGATTCAAACTGACAACTTATCGTCTTTTTGACCAGTTCATTATAAAGAACAGACTTTGTGACTAAATCCTACCCCGCTGTCAAAATCCTACCCTACTTGGGCCTCAAAGCAATATTAGAACTTCTTTTGAGTACTCTAGTGAGTGCCTGTTTAAAAAAAATGTGTTGAATTCTCTTGTCTATTTATTATCTGTGTATAATTTTGCCATCTTTCTCTCTCATCACATGAGAGAGAATTACCATTGCAAACTCTTTTTCTTTTTCCATAGCGCCTTAGATTCAGTTCTACATCATCGGCAGATGAACGCAGACGTTCAAGTACCATTAATGGAAACGAACATCATGGAAATCAATCGGTTATGGTACAGTATTTTTTTTAAAAACGCAACTCAGTTCTCAGTTCCCAACTCTAGGTAACAAGCTTGATTGCATAACCTGGGAGGATGAACGCAGAGATATTTGAAAAGAAAAATGTGCAAATGAGGTAGCGTTGGCAGACAGATGCTGCGCTTAGGGAATGACTGGGAGAAACCGAAGGAAGTGCACAGAGAGAGAGAGTGGATCAGAAGGAGAAAAAGGAAAGGAGATGGCGCATTGTGCCTCTGTAAATTACCACCGGCTCTCCCAACATTCACTAGCTCTTATCTGAATACAAAGCCAAGAAAACTATGGATTTATTTCCTAGCAGAAGAAGTGTCAATGCCAATGACAATTTCCACAAAGATGTCCTCTAAACTGTGATTAAGCCTTATGACTCTGTCTCTCACAGAGTATGAGCTTTCAATCATGCAGCCTTTAATAACAATTTCTAAGGGTGCGCATTAGTGAGTCACTTGAAAAAACGAGACTTTGGCAACTCGGTTTCAGCACCAGACTGAGTAGAACAGCTACTCTCCAGCAAGCAGGGACAAACAAGTGCCTGCCAATCAAGAAAAACAAAGGGCCTGTCTGTCAGCCTGACTCTCAGGAGCTCTATTCAGATCTCACACCCACATAGTTCCTCCGCTTACCCTGCATTCACATCACTTCCTCAGACGCAACACCCACTAGCTCTAAAAGCCCCCAGGGTGGTTCTACCTTGAGCTACTCTGTAATTTCTATTATGCAAGGAGGTTATATCGTATGACTGTCAGCTCGCCCTTTATTTTCCTTTCCGTCATGCCGTCTTTCTCAGTTTTTGTTCCACCATCTTTGCTTCTGCTCCCAACTACTCCGTTTTCCTCCATGCATGGTTCACACATTCGCAGGCCTCCAAAGAACCAGTCTGGGTTGGGCAAAAGTCAGAACTGGCTCCCTTTCAATTTAGAATTTAGAATTTTAATTGATTTGGCCACGTCTCACAGGATGTTGGAATGGAATTTAAACTGGAATAACAGGAAGAGAAATTCTTTGGATTGCAAACAGTCATAAAAGAGGAGATTTCAGTAATCCAACATAAAATGGGAAGGAAGAAAAAATGTCAAAATCTGAATCATGAGGTTTGGCTCTCCTTTGGAAGCCTTTGGTAAAATTAGAATATTGTGAAAATTGTGTTCTCACACTATGCTTCATAACATGAGTGCAGTATATAATACATTCATTTAGAAATACATATATACAACGTTGAATAAATTAGGTTATATTCATATTGTGTATACACTGTGTATATTTACTATGTATGTATAAATACAAACACATGCATGTATTTAATAATTTGACAGCACTTATATATATATATATAATTATTAATGAAAAATAATGCAATTAAAATATTTTAACGCAGTTAACGCACTGGCCCGCCCCCAGACCTGTACATCATCTTAAATTTCATACAGTTGACTGTTGACAAATATAATGCAGAGCAACAACTCCATAAATGCAGTTATGCCTTAAAATTTAAGATATTGGGGGTTGAAATGCCCCTGTATGTCTCATATCTTTAAGCGATATCACATGTGCAGCGAGAGCAGTATCGCACGAGTGCTGCTTTTGTCCTGATTTGCACGAGTGCAAATGTGATTTGATACAACAGTTCAGTAAATAAGAAGTTAATATTGTGTTATATTTTAAACACAATATTGTGTGTTTTGTTCAATTTTGCCAATGAAAATTTGACCTATAAAGCCACAGCAGAACTGTTGTGTGTCTCCGAGCAACACAGCAGTGTTTGGTTTCTGAATGAATCCGCGTTTTGAACGAATCGTGTGAATCAATGATTCAAAGACCCAAGCTGCATCCCAAATGACGCACTATACACTATGCACTTACAGTGGTGTGAAAAAGTGTTGGCCCCCTTCCTGATTTCTTATTTTTTTGCATGTTTGTCACACTTTAATGTTAAAAAAAATGATTTAGAGTATCATTTCATTTATATAAAAAAAAATAAGTAAATAAAAAACATTAAAGCGATAGTTCACAATAAATAAATAAATTCGGTCATCATTTATTCACCCTCATGTTGTCTCAAACCTGAATTAATTACTTTCTTTTGAACAACATAAAAGAAGGTATTTTACATACTGTTAAAAAAATGTATAGCCTGAATGCACTTTAAGTCGCTTTGGATAAAAGTTACTTTATGTTAGCCCGTTGTAGCTTAAACATTTAACACAATAATAGCTTTAAATTATCTTTTGGGGGTATTTTCACAGCCAAATTTAGTTAGCGCTTAATTAGATTAATTAATCGCAGCATCCTGTAATTAATTAGATTAAAAATTTTAATCGACTGACAGCCCTAATATATATATGTATATATATATATATATATATATATATACACATACACTGTGTATAAACACACACACACA